GTCTCATTCCTGTGCTCCAAGATCATCCCCAACTCTTTCCTGCCTCATGACCTTAGCCTTTACCCTGACACTTTTCTTAACAGGTCACTTTTGTCCTGGTCTCATCTTAAGTATCACCTCCTAGAGTTCTTTCCTGACCACTCTGAGTAGACCCTCTTCCCCTTAGTTAATCACAATATTCTATTTATTTCTTTCATAACACCAATTACAAAATGAGTTTAATTTTATATATTTATTTAATTTCCATTTCCATTTGCTAGAGTGTGAAGTTCATCAGAGTTAGGACCTTTAATCGTCTCATTCACTTTTATAGCCCTAACATGTGTCCCAGTTTTGGGTACAGAGGAGGGTCTCTGTAAATGATGAATGAAGGGATGAATGAAGACACTCTTTCTGTTCCCGGTGGGTTTAGAGTTTAGGGAGTGAAATGATTTGGGAACAAGCAATTACAGTATGGTGTGATAGGCTGATAGGTGCTATAGTGGAATGAATTGTGCCATGGTATATGACATAGTGATAATACAGCATGAAGAAAGATACAAAAATGTAATGCACCATAAAGCAATTAATTTTTTTTTTGCAAATGTAAGGTAGCTTATTCTTTTGCAGAAAATTTAAAAAACCTAGAAAAGTACAAAGAAAATACTCATCTGCCTTAATCTTCCTGGTATCATTTAAAAGATACATTCATAGATTGTTACCACTCCTACTTTATCTTTTGTGAATTATCTGTTGAAGTCACTTGTTAGCTTTTCTTTTGGGGGATTTATTTTGTTGATTCTTCAGAATTCTTGACACAAAACAGGTTATTTATCTTTTAGCCAACCTAGATGTTACAAATACTGTTCTCAACTTGCCATTTGGCTTTTAATTTTGTTTCAGACTTCTGTTAACATACAAAACATACTTTGAAATCATAGTTATTATGGAAGGCATTACATATTTAAGAAATACATTTCAATTTTAAGAAATTGAGTTTTAAGCTTTTGTCATTAAATTTTCACCTTAGAAAACGTAGAAAATACATAGGCCCAGACCTATACAGTTTGTTCTTTGAGAGACTTTTTGAAGTTAATCTTTAACCTATAGTCTGACATTTGAGTTAAATAATATGTGTTTAGTAAAGGCATTTTTATTCATCTTATTATTTGTCATCTTATTATTCATATATTCATAAGATACAAGCACATACTTCTAATTCTTTTTTTCTATTTGGCCCGAGTCTAAGACATGAGTTAAAGTTTTTCCAAATTTTGTTTTTACTCCTCTTCATTTTCTCTTTTTAAATCTATTAACTCATGCATTTAAAGAATAACATTTTAATCCACTTAATGTTTTTTTTTCCAGTTTAAATTATACTTTGACACTTTTACATTATTTTTACAACAACCGTTTTCTGTCTATTTGCATTTTTCCATTATGCATTTGTTCAACTTGTTACTTTTAAGTTAACTGGATCATTTTATCTTGTAGTGTAGAATTAGATTTTGTTTATTTAGACAGTCTGAGACCTTTTCTCTATTTTAATCCATTTATATTTATTGTCACAACAGAAATGTTTTTTCTTTTGTCATTTTTTATTACACAGTTTGAATGCTTTCTTGTTTTTAAATGTGTTTTCTGTGTTCTATTTTATTTTTTCCCCTATGGCCTTTGCTTTTGTTTTTCTTTCAGTTATTGAAAATGTAAGTAGATACTTAATTTTTTTATAGTAAGGTCTTTGGTTGACTTACTTCTTTGCAGGCTATAGCATTTATCCTTTTTTTATCCTTTATTTCTGCTGACTTTCCCCCACTCCCTACACATTTTTGTTTCTGTGTCTCTGAAGGACCCTGTTACCTTAGTAAACCCGTCTTCCAGGGTGGTTATTATACTAGAGTCGGTTGCTGTATGTTTGGTGTAACCATCATTCCCAAGTAATTTTACACAATCCTCAGGCAGCCATGTGTGGCCTTAATGATAGATCTTACCACCCAAGTATGTGCCTCTTGGCAACCATCACCACCCTCTCTACCAGGTCCCTGCTCTCTCATTATAGCTGTTTGAGCTCTGGGCCCCACTGAGAACAGTGGCCTCTAAATCCATTAACCTGGAGTGACCACATGGGCCACAAAAAGTTTCCATTTGAAGGTTTTCCTCTTGGTCTCATCATCCGTCTTACATTCTGTCCACAGGCTTGAAGTGAGGAGTGAAAGATAGGAGAGAGAAGGGTCCATTGTATAGGCTGGCAGGGTTAGTTAGAGATGAAGAGCAATGGAGATTTGAACCAGAGCTGTTGGACTGGAATTGAACTGGCTTTGACTTACAAAGTAGTTGCTTCATATGGTTCAACTTAATAGCAAAAAATGGAAAGACATGGCCAGATTTAGAAATACTAAGAAGCAAAAAGAAAATGAGAAGCAAGGCAGAAGGAGAAGCCCCAGTAGATGCCCACATCACAGTCTTCAGTGACTGGACAGGTCATAGGGTAACCCACTGAGGCCCATATTTAAGAAGGACAATGGGGCTGTAGGGGAGACAACTTGATAGGGACGCTGTTTAGATCTGTTGCATACAGCTTGTGTTTGAGGCATCTGTGTATAATATCGGCATGAAATGCAGATCTCTTAGTTGGGTGAGACTACTGTTCATTGAGAATTATGGAGTAGCGCTGGACTTGGGGATTGCCAGTGAACTGCCAGTCATTGGAGGAAGAGTGTGCTCAGTAAAAACATGAATAGAGGAACCTCACATTTGAGGGGTAAATTTAGGAGGACAAGTGCTTACAAAGAAACCTATGGTAGTATAGTCTCAGATCTGTGAGAAAAACCATAAGAGTGAAGTGTCACTTGAGCCTAAACAAGAGTGATCCAGAAAGGGAGAAGCTACAAACATTGATAATTAATAGAAAAATGGTCAAGTATTAATAATAATTATTAGCAAACATTGAAGATCTACCATGTGCCATATGTTGTTCCAAATAGGTATTAACTCTAATCTGAAAAATTATCCAAGGAAGTGGACACTGTAATTATAGATGAGGAAACTGAGGCACAGAGCAGTAGATAACTTGCCCAGAGTCACATGGTAGTGAGTGGTGTAGCCAGGACCGGAACCCAGGCATTCTGATCCACAGCCCAACCACAACACTGTCTTCTTTCTTAAGGATTGAAAACTATCTGTTGGATTTAGCAACTATGCACTTATTGGTATTTGCCATGAAAGCAGTTCTGGGGGAAGTGTTGGGGACAAAGTCCAGATGATAGTGGTGGGGGCAGGCGGGGGGGTGGTGGGGAGTTTTGCAATGGGAAGTAAGGGAGTGTTGAGAGTGAGTGTAGATAAAACCGTTGAGAATACCACATGTGATTGAAACACAGCTAGACTGTGCCAGAGCAGAACCTGCCACCCAAGTGTAGTTTTTAAAGAATAAGAGAAGCCCCAGCATTTACAGGTGCCAAAATCAAGGATAAAAGAGTTCAGAGACACAGGTAAAGAGACAGAACCAGGAAGGACCAAGAAGCTGGAACATGCAGCAGAGGTGGGAAGGGTTGAGCATGGGCATGCCTTGAGGAGAGGAGGCAATGGTTGGTGTTTGGTAATCCGAGGTGTCCTCTAACCTCGGATGATGGGCAAGAATTAGAACTCAGCCCATCTCCTGTCCCTTTACCTGTTGAAGATGTGCTGTGGGTGTCTGCTGGGACTGGGTGGGTGATGTTGAAGCGGAGTATTTGTGTGAGGCATGGAAGTGGAGAAGGCAGGTTTGCAATAGACTTGTCAATGTTGGAACGAGGGGGTGAAAGAATTGGGGCTTTGAGATCAATGGGAATGGTTAGCCAACATGGCGGGGCCACCCTGGGCTTGCTGAGAATACAGGAGGTGTAGGCCATCACGTAGACTCTGGGAAGCATGAGATCCAGGGTATGACATGAGCAGCGGGAACAGGTTTAAAAGGAGTGAGGGGCCGGAGGCTGTGTCAGAATACCCGTGGATGAAACTTCTGGTTTCTGGAGTGGATAAGGATGCGGATGTGGCTAAAGCTGGTTGGGAGATAAAGACCATGGGATTAGGGAGGTCAAGGGCATTGGTCAAGGTGTCTATACAGGTAGTCACATGTCATAGGCAAAGTTAGACAGTGGGTGGCAAGGAAAGCTGTTAACTGAGTTTTAAAAGCTATACTGAATTACACTGCTTGGGTGAGAGTCAGAATGGAGAATTCAAAGGACTTGTTGCCTTTGGATTCCTGGATACCAACATTTGTGCCTGGGGCTTATCTTCAAGAGGTGTTATTAAGAAATTCAGGTGGGAGAGAGAGACAAACCAAGAAATAGACTCTTAACTACAGAGAACGAACTGTTGGGGGTAGGAGGGAATGGGACCAGAGCAGAGAGGGGGCTTGCGGGGACACGAGACAAATAGGGGCTGGGGGTCGAGGAGTGACCTTGCTGTGATGAGCATTGGGTGTGGTGTGGAAGTATTGAATCCCTAGGTTGTACATCTGAAACTACTATAACCCTGAATGTTAACTGTATTAGAATTAAAATTAAAGAAATTCAGATGGACTATATTCCTGGGGGTTGTAGAATCAAATCAGGGTAAACCCTTCTCAGCTTATGGTAGCTTCCAAGGTAAGCTCCTCTGTCCCACGTCATAAGAAATTTGGGGTATTAGGAAGGAATTCTCCTCTGTGCTACACTTGAAACAACAATGAAAAAGGTGCAGATCGGGGTTTCAGGCCATGTTTGGGTTGTTTTTCTGCATTCAAGTGTTATTTCTGAAATCCATTAAAAATGTTCCATGTGGCTGACTCTTGTTTTGCTGGGCATTAGATTTGTGGCCTTTTTTTTTTTTTAACTTTGTTTTGAAAATCCGAGTCCATTGCCAGCGTAGCTACAAGGCTGATAGAAGACCTCTCTGGGAGGTTCTGGTGGGAAGCTGAAACACAGAGGGCTTGGGGGCTGGGCAGCTTCCTGTGATGCCTACAACCACTTCTGTGAAATTGACTCCCACCCTGTGTGTTACAGGTGATATTTGAATCCGTCTCTCTGAAGGGTCATCCGGGGTACATCGCGGTGGACGAGATCCGGGTCCTTGCGCATCCATGCAGTAAGTCTCTTTCCTCCTCCTCACTCAGCCTCGCTCCATGCTAGACCGGGGAGCTTGGAGCCTGCAGTCAGCTTACAACCATCTCTGGCTCGCTCGCTTGCTCTCTCTCTCTCTTTTTTAATCCTTCAGAAATGCTTACATACTCAATGCAATCAGTCCTGAATAAATTCGTAATTTCACTGGCCTGTTCAACAGGCAGCACCTCCAGGAATTTGCAGAGAGTGGCAAAACGTCTTCGTTTGAATCTCTCTCCGTCATTAAGGGAGTCTGAAGTCCTGATTGTTTATTAGTGGGATTCAGACCACTGAAGTGGAAGAATTAGAGGGCTTTGGATAGAATCTTGTGCAATTGTCTTAAAAAAAGAACACCACCAAAACACGGAGCAAATTAGTACACTGTTCACTCACAGGGAAAAGTACCCCAAAGCTATTAATTCTTTAAAAGTAATTTTAAATACACTCATCAGCCCTGCGTAGGCGTCAAGAGAGATTTCTCATAGCGGTTAGTACTTACGGTTCAGGGTCAAGAGTCCTAGAAGCCATACTGCTCCTTTGTGCCCATCCAGTCTCTCTCTTGAAGTTCTCTGTCTTTGCTGTGTTTAGTCTCAGATGCGTCAACATGTTTGTGCAAGGACGTCTGGTTCACAGTTTCACGAAATCCCAGAGGGGCATTGGATGGCATCTTATCTAGTGACATTTGGTTGGGGGGGACTATAGTCAAAGGGATATATGCATGGGGACGATGGCAGCCCAGGGCTAGCTGGGTTTCCAGAACCCTTATTTATGAGAATTCTGCATATTGGAGAGTCCCATTAATTTCTTGGCAGCCAGGAGGTTCTGGGTAACTCCTGGGGGGTTTGCCCTACTCCCTCCTTGTAGCCATGAGTCATGCTATTGTCTGCGTGCTGTTTGCTGATTCTGCAAGAAGTGCTATGCCCCTTGTGGTTAGAGGCCTTCCAGTCCTTTCATTTGGGGGCTCTTCTCATATCAGCCCCACCCGTGTTGCTTTAACTGAAATGACTCTACTTCCGCTACAATGAATTTGTTAGAACCTTGAACATCACTTCCTTCCCCGGCACTAGAATGCCATCGTTTGACTCGTTGCTTAGAGCACCTCTCTGGAGGAATTTGGGACAAGTTCCAAGGGGTTTGGCAAGACAGTGTTTGGGATCATTGTGTTTTGTGTCTGTGCATGGGAACCCTTCTTCCCAGAAAACCGGCCAGCTTCTCAGGAATGCTGAGATCCTACCAGAATCTTCATTGCTCTGGTGTAAGGTTCCTGACCTCTGGGTTACTTGCTGAATCTTTGGGATTTCCTTAGGTGGATCTGTCCATGTAGTCATGCCTGCTGAACCAGACCTCATGTGAAGAGGTTCCCAGAAATCCGTCCCCGGCCATGCAGTGGGAATTTTCACCTCTTTCATAAGGCTCAGGCTGATTCTGGTTCCTTGCTCCAGTCTCAGCTCTGCCTTAACTCCAAGCACTATTGCCCTAACTCCATGCACCATTTATGTAGCAGAAATGCAGGTAACACCACCCACCTGGGTAAAGCTGTCCCCTTCCCTGGCCTTCTGGGAATCAGGATCAGCTGCCTGTTAAAGAATGATCTCTGATCTCAGCCTGCACAAATGCATGAGGTCATGTTTGTCCTCTTCGTGGTCTGCTTAACTCCACATGCTCAGCTCTGCCCAACTTCCAGTTTTGAGGTCGTCTCCGGGAGGTGGGGTTCAGCTTCCCTAGGCCCTACACCCATCCCATCCTCGCCAGGGATGCTCCCCTCAGCAGCACCCACCTGCAGCCCTGCTTCTTACCGTCTGTTTGGTTTGCTCTTGTAAGTGATTTTTGACCCTTCCCAGGGGAATCTGGCCCGGCTCTCTTGTCTGGGATCCCAGATCTCTCCACTCAGAGTGGAATTTTCACCTCTGTCCAGAGGCCCAACCCTGATACCTGTCCCCTCTTCCAACCTCAGCTCCACCTTAACTCTAAGCACTGGTTTGCCATGGAAGCCAAATACTTCCTTCTCTTGGAGAAGTCTGTACGGGAAAGGGTTCCCCGGAGGGTGTTTGGATGCCTTTCCACCCCAAAGCCTCATGCTCCCCTCCACCCCAACTTGGAATCCGCCCCTCCTCACTGGGGCGGCTCCTGAATTTAGGATTCTCCTCGCAGCCTTGCAGTCTGCCTGCTGGAGAGTGCAGAAGGCATGGTTATGGCCGAGAGCCGGTTCGCCAGCAAATGGTCCGTAGGGTACAACTCAGAAGGACGTGACTCTGGCTGCGTTCGTGGGTAATGGGGGCACAACGTCGAGCGTACCCTCGATGCTTGGGCAGCTTGGGCTTAAACTTCCCAGAAAGCAGAACATGAGGACCCGTCATAGTGGCTGGGATTGGAACAATTCCATTGAACAATACGTACAAATCCTGGCAGTACATGTCGTCCGAGGGAGTCTGTCCACGCGGCTCCTGAGTCACGGGGAGGGGAGGGGGGCTTTGCCAAGCCCTCCTTGTCCAGTTGGGCACTCCGTGCACATCCGCTCCAGCTCTTTGTTCCTACTGTCTTTCAACAAGTAAATCATGGTGCGTAAGCTCTGTGTCAGGAACTGGTGCTGGACATGGGGTAGGGCGAATTGGTTGCCGAACTGGTTAGATCCTTGTCTCTATGGTGTTAACTTAGCGGAGCGGCAGGGGGAGGAAAGCCACTCAATAAGTAATATTAAGTAGTAACATACAATTTCAGATGGTGATATCACAGTGGAGAGAATAAATATGAGTGGCTGGGGTCGGGTAGTGCTCCTTAGGCAGAGAGGGCAGGGGAGAGGTCTGGGCACCTGTGGTCTGAGCTGACACCTGAGTCCCTTATGCGCAGATCTAGGGAGGGGGACAGGCCAGGCAGAGGAAACAGCAGGTGCAAAGGCCCTGCCATGGGAATTTACCAGTGTCGCGTAAGTAGCCAGAGTGTAGGGGGCACAGGGCAAAAGGACCCGAGTGAAAACTGGGGAGGGAGGCTGAGGCTGGAGGACACAGGGGCTGAGTGCCTTGATGAGGTTAGACTTTAATGGAAGCACAGGGAGGCACCCCTGGAGGAACTTGGCCTAGGATTGATTTGACCTAGTTTAAGTGTTTAGAAACCACTGTGGCTGCTCTGCAGAGAATGAGTTGAAGGGGAACAGAGGAGCCAGGACACTGGTCAGGAAGGACGTTCTGGAGCCATGGAAGAGGTAGGTGGTGGTGGCCTGGACCCGGCTGGTGGAGAGACGTCCGTTCATCGTTCTGCATGTGTTTCCTGAGCGTGTACTCCAGGACAGGCACGATTCTGAGCTTCTGGGAGTAAGACACATTCATTCTCTGTCCTTATAGGCTTCCATTGAGGTGGAAGATACTGGAAATGAAACAGGTAATTATATGGTATATAACAGAGGGTAAATTAGTTTGCTAAGGCTGCCATACAAAATACTATAGGCTGGCTGGGCTGAAACAGCAGAAATTTATTTGCCCACAGTTCTATAGGTAGAATTCGAGGGTGAAGAGGGCATGGTTGGTTTTTACTGAGGCCTCTGTCCTTTGCTTGTGGGTGGCTGCCTTCTTGCTCTGTCCTCCCATGGGCTTTGCTCTGTGCTCCTCATAGGTCTCTGTACATGTGCTCCTGAAATGTCTCTGTGTGTCCAAATCTTCTTCTCCCGACACCAGGTAGAGTGGATTGAGGTCCACCTAAAAGCCCTATCTCCAAATACAGTTGCACTCTGCAGTGTTGATCAGTAGGGCTTTAATATATGAATATTTTGGGGGCGGGGACACAGTGTACCCCATAGCAGATGGTCAGCAGTGCTGTGCAGAAACAAAGCACAGAGATGGAGAGCGGTGGGCAGATGAGAGAGAGATTTAGGACGTAGAGTCACCTGGTCCTATTTGATGGATGAGTTTTCGGAGTTAGAGGTGTCAAAAACAGCACTCCCTTGGATTTTTGGCTCGGGCCCCTGGCAGGTTGTGGGCGGGGCTGGTGTATGTCTCTGGAGCCTGAGTGATGCCCTCCAGCGGGCCGACTGTGCGTGCATCCTGGGGCACTCGGGGAACGTGAGTCGTGCACGCTGCTAGGGGTTTCCGTGCTGTCCTCTGCAGTGACAGTACCTTTTGCCCTCCAAAGCCTTCATATGAATGCATTTATGACTTCACTCATGGGTGTTAAAAATTTAACTATGTGGAGAAACATGCATTCTCCCCAGGCTTTGTAGTTCTCCACTTCCGTCCTCCAAAACATTTTTCCTATTAACATCACGTCAGCACTTATCAATAAGCGATTGCACTGAATATTTCAGAAGTTGCAGGGCCGGTGGGGAGGGGGCAGTTAGTGCCTGATCTGCAGCTGTATTCTCCGTTGGTTTGGGCTGAAGTTTTGACCTCTCATGATTGCCTTGCAGCTTCCAAAACACCGACCGACAGACAGGCGTAATACTCAAAGGAAATTATTTTCTCTTACAAACCGAATGCTCTCGTCTGTATTTTATAGCACATTTAACATTTTTGTGAGATTCTAAAAGTATTTGAGCCATAGTCGCCCCTCCGCTGTCATTCTCCGTGTCAGCTGTGAGCAGGGACACCGCAGCTAGAATCACACACGAGAAAGGTCGGCATGATTTTCCACCCGGTCTCCCAAGTTTCTAGCTCCCAAGCTGACTTGTAGAATTTTTTAAACCTTTTTTCTTTTTCCCCCATCACAACCTTGCAGGGCCATGTCCCCGAGCCCACTGAGTGTCTCCAGCACGTTTCTAATGTGGGTACTGTGCTTTCTCCTCAACTGCATGGCTTCCTACTGAGCGCTGAAGGTTTAAAGAGCGAGATAAAGGGCACAATATTGTGTCTTCAGATGCAACATTGATATCGGCAGGAGTTTAAATGTCACCAGCATCAAGGCATTTTGCCCCAAATGCACAGCCGGTTTGCCGTTAGCCCCATTCAGCGGGATCCCACTTTGGAGGTGCTGGGTCTCCGTGAGGAGTGAAGGTGGTTTGTTTAGAAGCACAAGTTAGAGGCCGGGCTGGGCCCCAGAGTCAGCTGTGTTTGGCCTCAGGTTGGCAAGTGGAAGCTGGTGGTATAAATTTTTTCCCCGAGCTGTAGGTGCCGGAGGAAAACCATAGGTGAGAGAACAGAGGGCTCAGAGGTGGACTTGAGTGTGTGTGTGTGTGTTAGAGAGGGTCAGAGAGGCCAGGAGCTCAGAGAAGTGGCCTCAACAGGTCGCCAACACAAGGAGGCTCCGCAGTTGTGTCCTGAGGTGGGGATGAGGCCAGGGCTCCAAGAGCAGACCCAAGAGTAAGGGCATACAGAGGGCTGGGCAGGACGAGGGTGTTCTCGGTAAGTTCTTATGTTGGGAACCTTGAACTAGGGCTAGCAGTCGTGTGATCCCCAGCGTGCTGCCTGCAGGGGTGGGGGGCATCCCTGGATTTATGGAGCCAGACAAGGCAGGACCCGCCAGTGGGAATTGTTCTTAGATGACTTTATAGGAGCTAACAGAGACCGCACGTGAGAAGAGCTTGGCTGCAGATGTGTTTGGTTAAGCCTCCATGGCGTTGTAAAGGAATTTAGTCAAGACTTCAGAATGAGAGATTTCACATAAAATTGGATTTCTTACTTGGGTTGAAAAATTGGACGATGGGCTGCCCTGAGCAAAGTACTCTGGAGTGGCCTTCTCTGCTGGATCTGAGTAACAGCTGCCCCTTTCAAGGGGCCATGGGGTCTCTATCCATTTCTCCTCAGGCCCTACCACCCCTCAGTGCCACCTCAATGCTGAGGCTGGTGTCAGATGCCAGTTGTCACTGTGCGTGCAGTTTTGCTGTTCTCTCTCTTTTTTTTTTAAGATTTTATTTATTTATTTGCCAGAGATCACAAGTAGGCAGAGAGTCAGGCAGAGAGAAAGAGCAGGAAGCAGGCTCCCTGCTGAGCAGAGAGCCCGACGTGGGGCTCGATCCCGGGACCCTGAGATCATGACCTGAGCCAAAGGCAGAGGCTTCACCCACTGAGCCACCCAGATGCCCCGAAATCTCTATTTCATGCAAATCTATGTCAAAAGTGGGAATGTGAATGATGGAGCAAGGAGGTGGGGTTTTGTTTTTGTTTTGTTCTCTAACTGAGCTACTTTATTCATTTATAAAAATGGCTCCTGTGGGTGCACGGGTTCAGCCTCGCTGCTGTAAACAGTCCACGTTTCACCAGAATATTAACCCCAGGGGCCATTAAGCCTCTAAATTCTCTACCCCTGAACCCAGAAGGGAGGGAGGAGGAGAGCCCGGAGATGAAAGAGTCCAGACAAAGGTCTGCTGCTGAGAAGCTGGGAATCAGAAGCAAGCAGGGGACATTGATCCGGACAAGATCCATTTCTCATTGCACAAGTCCCAGAGGTTAAACTGTTTGCCCAGTGTCCCCAAGGGTAAAGACAGACGTCCCTTTGTGAAACCCAGCACAAAGCCTCCCAACCCTGGAGCTAAGACTGTCCTCCCTCCCTGTCCTGGATGGATGGTCCCTCCCTTTTAAACCTGGGGTATAAAGGGGCTTACAGTGTTTACTCTTAGTCCTACTTGAATGGACTTGAACTGATAGTTCCAAAAATAACTTTATAAAATTATACAGGAAAGCCAAAAGGAAGCGATTTCAGACAAAGCAGCATGACGTTGGTCAGGTTGACCAGATGCCGGAATCTTCCATTCGGAGAGCCCCACGAGGAGAGGTTTCCCTCCCCCTACGCCTCGACTGCTTGACACCACCTTAGCCGTGGGGTCCTGAAGGTAGCACGAGGGGGTCCCCAAGCTACCGTCCTTGGTTTAAGAACCTGAGCAGAAGGTGTACTTTCACACAGCAAGTCTGCCTAATCACGCCAGAGGTTTGGGAATGGCTGAGCTCTGTATGTCATGACGCACGTTGGTAGAAAACGTCCTGCGGAGTATGAAGGCCATGGGGACAGATGGCTCGGAAGGGGATGACTCATGATTAAATACTTGGGAGCCATGAGAGGAGCCTCGAGTCAGCCCAGCCTGGCCTGCAAGCCCTTTCTCTCCACCCTGGGTTCCAAGTGACACCACTGACTTCCCATTACCCAGGAAGCCGGCGAATGTGCGATTTAAATGTTGACTTTTGGGCCAGAATTTGGACTGAATTTTGTTTGCCTCTTACTAGTGCCATGTAGCTTTGGGCAAATGAAACTCGTTGAGCCTCAGCTTCTGCCTCTCTGAGAGGGGACTAGGCATATTGTCTGCTTTATGGGGATGTTATGAAGTTAAATGAGATAAAACATGTAAAGCATTTGTCACAGGGCCTGACATTGCTAGAGCTTTAGATAAGTGACATTATTGCCATTAGTGTCTCTCTGGGTACTGGACTCTCTCTGAAAAGATGGCCAGAGGCCCTTGTTGAACCTTCTTGATCCTCTTAGCAACTGTTCATTTGGTCTCATCGTGGGGTAGCGGCTGTCTGGTTCATCCTTGATTTGGTTCATGTGCTAGGGGATCCTTGGCACTTTTGTGCCTTAGTGAAGAAATTTTTACTTCTAGACATGGGTTAGCAACCCTCACCTCTTTGGTGAGCTCGACATGGTGAGACCCTGACTCCACAAAAAGGAAAGAGATGAACCTGTTACCCCACATATAACAGTTTTTTTCTGGGATGATTGCTCAGACCCTGTGAGTTTCATTTATTTGAAAGTCCCTTGTCCTGTTAATGCCAAGTCCCCAGAGCCAGTGTCCCCCATCCCTCCTATCTTGGGGAGATACTGTGCCGTAGAGTTCAGAGTGTGGACTCTAAATGCTGCTTGATTTGTCTGTGCCTCAGTTCCCTCACTGGAGGGCAGAGATGATCCCGCCACCAGCCGTGTTGGGTTCAGTGAGTGACTGTGTGTGGACCCCGCACAGCGAGTCCTGTGTGAATGACAGCTCCTGGTTTTCTCCTCCACCTCTTCTCCCTTCTGTGCTCTGCCCTCCTTATCATCTTCCTCAATCAGTGTCCTCTCCGAGCCCAGGTGTGTGGGTCTCAGGCTCTGAGGTGCTTTGTTTCAGCGTCCCTCTTTCCGCTCTCTCACCCGAGGTAGGACTTCTCTCTGGTGTATCCTCCCCACGCCCCACCTTTAATTTTCCCTTCCAAACATGCCAGTATTTTTTTTTTTTTAAGATTTTATTTATTTGAGAGAGGTAGAGAACGAGCAGGGGGCAAAGACAGAGGCAGAGGGAAAAGCAGGCTCCCCGCAGAGCCCCCGACAAGGGGCTTGATCCCAGGATGCTTAACTGACTTGAACCACTTAGGTATTCCCTCTAAACATGCCAGTATTACCCAGACGCTAAAAAGAGGGATCTTTGAGGCTCCGAAAGACCTGGTTCATGTCTTAGCTTCCTTGCTTTCTGGCTCTCTGACTGTGCTGAACTATGGAAGTCCTCAGAACCTTCATTTTCTGATCCGTGAAATGGGGATAGTACCCACTGCATGCATATTGCTGGAGTTTAAGTACGGCGATCACACTAAGCTCTTAGAATGAGCAGAGCCTGGCTCACAGGAAGCGGGCAAGCAGACAAAGCTTCGCTGCCCCAGGAGGCTTCCCCGCTGTGGATTCCCCCCTGCCCAGCGGTAGTCCTGAGCTGCCGTCCACCTGTGGGGAAGTGGTGCAGACTGTTGAATTCAGTCCTCACGTCCCATTTGGTTTCTCTTCTAGGAAAAGCACCTCACTTTCTGCGGCTCCAAAATGTCGAGGTGAACGTGGGGCAGAATGCCACGTTTCAGTGCATCGCTGGTGGGAAGTGGTCTCAGCATGACAAACTTTGGCTCCAGGTAAGGATGGGAGTGGCCCCTGCTACTCATACTTGCCCATCCATCGGTAAAGGAAGAAAGTGTGTGCTGGGGTGAAGGGCTTGGTGTGGTTAAGGAGAGGGGATAGTTCTGTTGTACCTCTGTTCCTTGGGTGAAAACCTACATCCATGATCTTGTTAGATCTTCACTCTAATTCTGTTTTGTAGGCATCAGGATACCCATTTTACAGATGGAGAAACTAAGACCACATACATAAAAGTGCCAGAACTAGAATTTGTAACTATGCCCTTTCCAAGCTGCCTTCTAACAAACTTGGTCCTTTAAAGGCCAGACTCCCAGGGCGAAGGCAAAACTAAATACTTTAGATTCTGGGTTTGTGGAATCATGAAATCTTCATGGGAGGGACCTTACCCACCCAGTGGTCCATGAGATTCCTGTCTGACAGGCTGTGCTTCTCCCCAGCATCCTGGTGAAGTCTGGTAAAATGCCTCTTGGCCAGAATATTTCACGACACCAGCAAAGCCATGTGGTCTTTGGCTGAAAGAGTCTCTCAGGAAAGTCAGCAAGATGTTCTGAGTTTGAATGTGTTCTGCTTTTAGTTCTGCTCCTTGGCCTCAGTTTCAAATCAAGAGAAGAGAGGATCCCTTTCAGTGGAGGTGGGGGAAAGGAGGGGACACGGAATTAGACACAAATTGTTGCAGCATCGGAGATATCCCCGTGGATGCTGACGTAGAAATCCCAAGGGCTAGGACAGTGCAGAGGATCGAACTGTGCCATTCATGGAGTAGACAGATGTGGCTTTTAAACGTATTTTGGTTTTGTTCTTTATTTTACACAAATCTTTTGAGGTTTAACTGAGATACAGTATTTAAAATGGTACTGAGATACAGTATTTTAAAATGGTACCTTTTCACATGTGTGTATTTGTAACCATGGTCACAGTCAAGGTACCAGACATATCCATCTCCCTCAGACACGTCTTCGTTCCTGTTCAAAATCCCTTCTTTCTGCTCTCTGTTCCCATCTGTCCCCAGGTGACCACTGATCTCTGTTCTGTCATCGAACCGTTGACCCTTGATCTCGCATGGGTTTAAACTGGGTGCGTTCACTTCCACATCGATTTTTTTTTCCAGTAAATACAGTACTGTAATGTAAATGTATTTTCACTTCCTTATGGTTTTCTTTACATTTTCTTTTCTTTAACTTCACTGTAAGAATACTGTATGTAAGGACGCCTGGGTGGCTCAGTCGGTTGAGTGGCTGCCTTCGGCTCAGGTCATGGTCCCGGGGTCCTGGGATCCAGTCCCGCCTCGGGCTTCTTGCTGGGCAGGGAGCCTGCTTCTCTTTCTCCCCCTGCCTGCTGCTCTGCCTGCTTGTGCTGTCTCCATCAAATAAATAAATAAATAAAATCTTAAAAAAAAAAAAAGAGTACTGTATATAATACATATAACATATAAAGCATATATTTATTGACTATGTTATCAGTAAAACTTTTGGTCCACATAGGTTATTAGTCGTTTAGTTTGGAGGGAGGAGATGAAAGTCATACATGGATTTTTTTTACTGTAGTGGGTGTTGCTGTTTTTAACCCCATGTTGTTGAAGGGTCAACCGTGTATTAATTTGCATGTCTTAGAATTTTCTATGAAGTCACACAACATGTACTCTTCCTTTCACTCAACAGAACTATTCTGAGATTCCTCTATGATGTGTATAGATGTACTTTATTTAAAAATTTGGTTGAGTGATACTCCATTGTATGAAGATACTATGATTTCTTTACACATTCATCTGTGGATGGACACGTGGGTTGTTCAGTTATAGGTGATTTAAAAAACAAGTTGCTGTGAACATTCACGGACTTGAAGGGACGTATAGGCAAATGCTTTCGTTTCTCCGGGACAGGTGCCTGGAAGTGGAGTGGCTGGGTCATCTGGTAGATATGTAGCTTTAAAGAGCTATGAGCTCTTTTTCCGTACGGTCGTACCATTTTGCATTCCCATCAGCAGTGCATAGGAGTTGCTGTCGCTTACCAATGTCCCTGCCAGCGCTTGGTAAGGTCATTCTTTTCAGTTTGAGCCATTTGAACAGGTGTGTGGTGGTACCTCCTCGTGATTCTCCTTTCCCTTTGCCTCAGCACCAGTGACGTTGAACGCCTCTCCTTGTGGTCATTTGCTGGCATTCGTGTGTCGTCTTTGGTGCTGTGTCTGTTTCACTTTTTTTGCTCCTTTTTTATTGGTTGGTTTCCTGTTATTGCATGCTGATAGTTCTCTGTATGTGCTGGATACAAACCCTTTGTCAGGTACATGCTTTGCAAATATTTTCTCTCTTTATCTGTGGGTTGTCTTTTCGTTCTCTTAATTGTAGCGTTGGAGGAGCAATTTTAAATTTGGATGAAATCAAATTTATCTATTTTTCTTGTTTGGATCTTGTCCTGGCATCATTTCTAAGAAATCTTTGCCTCGCTGAGGGTCACAATGATTTTTTTTTTCTTCTGTTTCCTTCTAGAAATCTTATAATCTTAGCTTTTACATTTAGGTCTGTGATGCATTTTGAGTTCATTTTGCATATGGTGTGAGGTATGCATCGAAGTTTTTTTTTTTTTTTTCTTTTGGCGTGCATTTAGATATCTCTGTTGTTGCAGCATCATTAGCTGAAAAAGCTCATTCTTTCTCTGCTGTGCTGCTTTTGTCCACGGAGACAGGGGCTGGGCTCTTGAATTTGTTCCATTGATCTCTTTGTCTATCTTGGTGCCTCGGTGTTGTTAGTCTTCTGGTTGTTTTTCATTTTCACAGCGATTATGGCCATTCTAGGTCTTTTGCATTTCCATCTGACTTTTAGAATCACTTCGTCAGCTTCTACATGAAAAGCCTGTTGGGATTTTAATGGGGATTGATTACATTGAATCTATAAATCACTTTTGCAGAGGACTGACAGCAGTAATGACTTTTCTGGGTCTGAACATGGTATAGTTCTTCATTTATTTAAGGTCTGTAGTGATTTCACTCAGCACTTACTGTAATTTTCAGTGTATAGGTCTGACACATTTTTTTGGTCAGACTTATCCTTGGGTATCTGGTATCTTGGTATAAAAAGATCTCCATTTCTGACTCTGACTGCTGGTGTATGAAGTACAATTTGCCTTTCACATATTGATCTTGTATCCTGTGACCTGTTAAACTCAACGATGGCTGTTTGCATTTAAATTAATTAAATAAAATTCTGAACTTCGATGCCCATCACGCAAGTTGCATTTCAAGTGGACAGTAGCCATGGGCTTCTAGCGGCTACCATGTTGGACAAGTGCCCACAGGACACGGGATATTTGCAACATTGCGGGAAGTCTTAGTACAGAGCAGAGCTCAAGCTTCAACAAAGCCTGAATAATGGTTGGAAGACTGTAACTGCAGTTACTTCCATCTTCACTTACTGAAAGATCTCCACCATGTCTTCTGGCTGACATAGCTTGGATCTTGGACCCCGGCTTATGCCCAGTCATCTCTGCACACTTGGATGGAAGTTCATCGTACTGCCTCTCTTCTTGCGTTTGAACCCATTTCCTCTAGTTGGAAAATGCCTGGGTGGACGAGCACCTCTCATGGCTGACTGTTCTTCCTTGCTCCTTAGCAGTGCAGTAGAATGAAAATAATAGTTGTGCCCGACCCTCTTGCTTCGCTGGGCTGCCTGCAGACCACAGGAATCAGGGTAAACTTCCATGTGACACTCAAGTGTTTAGTGTTAATTAATCTTTCAGTTGTAGTTCGTATCGACGTGCATCGAGCTTTCTAGAACTTTATCATTTCAGTGGCATTGCCTAGGTTGGGTCAGGAGACTGAGAAGGAAAAATCACAGTATTTTCAACACCTTTATTTAGCTTTTCCAATTATTTTATCATGATTATGGCTGCATTTCTGAGTTGCGCGTCCCAAGCCTCGGCTTTATCAGCGGAAGGATTTAGGAGGTAATAGAAGTATTGGAGGAAATAGATAGAAACATGCGGTGTGGAACTCTTCTGCATCTTACTTATTTACTGCCTTTTCAATGCAAACCAAATCTTATTTCACAGAACGTTTTTCAGGTGGCTTACAATGGGACATAAAGCGTGACAAGATAGCATAAATTAAAAATGAGGCAATGGGAGATAGGAGGAAAGGAACACGCTGCAGAGCTGGTCATAATGTTAAAACTGCGCTTCTCCACATCTGGGGCTTCCTGGTGGGTCACGGGCGGAGCCCGCGGACCCGAAGCTGTGAACAGCATAAAGGAAACTTGTCAGATACACAGTTCAGAGTGTCCACAAGATAAACACAAACCAATTGCTTGGGAAAATTCTAACTTGTTCACACAGAAGCCAGGCAGAAATTGTTCCCGGGAGTCCTCCTAAAGAAAACAGCGTTTGATGGAAGGAACGGCGTTCTCTCTATTGAGGGCATACAAGTGAGTTTCACAGGCTCGTTTCCCATATTGGTGCCCTGTACGAAAGCACAGAAGAGGGAGGGGCGGGGGTTGGGCAATGCGATGGGACTGATGTCCCCAACTCTCTGCTAATTGTCTCCATCCTGGGATACTTTAAATATAACTGGAGAATGAATAGTTTCAGTAGCTACTCCTTTAAGGAGACCACCAGAAATATTGTCTCCCTCATCTATATTTCAGAAAATATTGGGAGGTAGATGATCTGCCCCGTGCTCTCTGGCAAATGCCAGCTTGGCTAGTCAAGTCCAGGCTTATATTCAGCAATGTGATTGGAAGTGAGTTAACGTCTTTGTACAAAATAGGAGGCACCTGTTGTGACACCTGCCTGCCACTCAGGAGGCCACAGCACCCCGATCTGACACAGACTGAGGCAGGAGCGAGTTTCTCATGAGATGCTACCTTGGATCTGTTCTAGCACCTGGAGAAGCAGCGTACAGACTGGCCCAGGTTCTGTTTCACCAATCAGGGCTTCTGTGACTCAGTCTGAAGCTTTGCAAAGGAAGCGAAACAGATACATTGTGACCAAGAGTCTACCTGTCAACCACG